AGTATTGTTAAACAGCCAGGCATCAAGTGGTAATTTTAGCCAATCAGGTATGTTGTAATAAATGGAAATTCAGCCCAAGTGAAGTAAACAATGTCAGCTAAAATGTAACATGAAACGGGGGAATTAATCTGAAGAAAAATTAATCTAAAATGTTATTAACACACAAATTATTTAAGGATATTGGAAGTATGAAGTCTATGGGAAATTCAGTGGGTCTGTTGGGCCACCAGGTAGGTAAAGGGGAATAATTGAGGAAGATAATACCAGAAAATATAGAGAAGCTAAATGATTTCTTTGAATCAGTCTTCATTTAAGAGGATACTGGAGAGAGGCTTACCAAAGGCCACCCTTTTCAGGTAATAAAGATGAGAAACTGTCAGATTGAGATGTGAAAAGAGGAGGTCTAGAACAAGTTGCTAATTAATGTATCAACAAGTAAGCAGGTCCAAACCGCAAACACCTAAGAGTTCTGAAGGAACTTAATGAAGTGGCTGGACTGCTAACAAAAATGTTTCAGAGTAACAGCCGTGTTAGTCTGTCTTTGCAAAAAGAAAAGGAGTACTTGTGGCACCTTAGAGACTAACCAATTTATTTGAGCATGAGCTTTCGTGAGCTACAGCTCACTTCATCGGATGCATACCGTGGAAACTGCAGTAGACATTATATACACACAGAGACCATGAAACAATACCCCCTCCCACCCCACTGTCCTGCTGGTAATAGCTTATCTAAAGTGATCATCAAGTTGGGCCATTTCCAGCACAAATCCAGGTTTTCTCACCCTCCGCCCCCCCCCCCCACAAACTCACTCTCCTGCTGGTAATAGCCCATCCAAAGTGACCACTCTCTTCACAATGTGTATGATAATCAAGGTGGGTCATTTCCAGCACAAATCCAGGAGTGAGAGAACCTGGATTTGTGCTGGAAATGACCCACCTTGATTATCATACACATTGTGAAGAGAGTGGTCACTTTGGATGGGCTATTACCAGCAGGAGAGTGAGTTTGTGTGGCGGGGGGTGAGAAAACCTGGATTTGTGCTGGAAATGGCCCAACTTATTACCAGCAGGACAGTGGGGTGGGAGGGGGTATTGTTTCATGGTCTCTGTGTGTATATAATGTCTACTGCAGTTTCCACGGTATGCATCCGATGAAGTGAGCTGTAGCTCACGAAAGCTCTTGCTCAAATAAATTGGTTAGTCTCTAAGGTGCCACAAGTACTCCTTTTCTTTTAACAAAAATGTGTTGTCTTTCATTAATATCAGCTTTTTGACTCTTAAATATTTTGAGTCTTTGCTTGTTTTTACTACAATGTGTGGTGATTTCTTGGCTCCTTAAAAACAGTGACAAATTAATTGCAATATAGTTTGAAAAGATGCTCTCTTTTATGTACCAGTGTGACCTTTCAGAACTGCAATCGCTACAGCCCAGTGCTTTATACTGGGGGGGATAGGTTAATGGCCAGAGACTCATACTTAAAATCACATCTGGAACCCCAGATTTAAATCCTGAGCAGAGCAAGGATGTTAACTCAGCCCTTTGTTTTCCCTTACGGAGAAACTGGGCTTTGCACAGAAACAATCACTTGGCTTGATTTGAATTGTGTTCCTTTTTTGATGTACTTATGTCTTTCTGTACTGCAGTTATGTGCACTGTGCAGATGACTAATGATTAGTCTCCATTTACAAATAAAACTTTCTTGATTAATCTGCTCCATGACTGTCTTGTTGAGTAAGTATCATCACTGTCTACTGGTTGTTTCCCTCCCAGGCTTATCTATTATGTTTTTTGTACATTAAACAGCATTGTGCATAAATGGAGACAGTTGCTTAACCAATATTCCCAGTCCCTCTGAACTTGGTTGCATTGCTACATATAGTTTGTTAGAACATGGTTTTCAGCATCAGCAGCAAGCCTTTGTCATATGTTTATATTCTGATCAAATATGACTTATCTATAAGGGTAGTCACAAAACAAACCCTAGGGCAAATCTACTAGTGACCTCTTTTCATTGCGTAGATACCAGTTATAACCACTCACTGTTACTCCTTTTTCAGCTATTTTCTCATTTAACAAACCATTTTATCCCCTAAAGCATGACTTCACTCTTAGCCAGTAACCTCTCCTGCTATCTTACTGTCTACAGCTAATAAAGCCTCTTGAGTTACCTCCATTTATTTTTCTCTTTGTGTGTAAGTATTATCATGTTTGATTATAAACAGGTTGTTTTTCAGGAAGGAAAGAAAAAGATATAATCAAGGGTTTTGTTTGTTTGCACTGGGGAGAAGCACAGGAATAAGTCTTTGCAGAAAGAGAAACCATATAAAATATGTACTGTGAGGCTATTCCTTTTGTTTCACTCAAACATTACTTCATTAATAGATGCAGATTATATCCATTTTATCTTACAGACAGAATTTCATTTCAATCTTTATAAATACAGTATACAAAGACTTTTTTCTAGTGGGTTACAAACAATACACACAATCTTCTAAAGAATACACCCATATGTTCTAAAAGAACTCATTCCAAGTAAGGCATCTATAAAGTGAATTAGTATTTTCCAACTGATAATTATTGAGTAGGTTGTCCACTGTCTAAACAAAATTGATGCCAAAAAATCTGCAACAAAAGAAATAAAGCTGCACCTTCATGCAAACAGTGTGGTACAATGTCCAGGACAGGGTGAACCACAGGTAATTCGTTAATGAGCAGAAGCAGAAGTAATTGCTCATCATATATCAATACAAAGAGGCATGTCTTAAGTAGCTCCCAGGGAGACATGCCTGATACATTGTGATTATTATATACTGGATTACTGAGGACATATTAGTCTGTTTGTTTTGTCTTGCTTTGAAACGCTTTTCTGAAAAACTGGGATATGAATTGCTTAATTTTTTTTCTACTGTTGTGCCTAATGCTGTATGTGTGGCATGCGGTGCATGTCTTCTACTAGGTGGAACCAGAACTGCTTAACTGTGTCACAGGTCCTAATTTGCTAATAGAGAGTTTCCTTTTGCTCAGATGGAAGGAGTTTGTGCTTTTGGAGCAGGGAGAGATGATTTCAGTTCATGCTACTGCTATAAAGTTCTGGATTGTTCTGCAGCAATCATGGACTGGCTAGCAGCCACAGATTTTCTTTTTTAAAACAATAATTTTAAGGTATTTTTGTATTTAATGTCAGGTTCCTGCCCACTGTCTAGACTCAGTTGTCACAAGCAACTGAGAATTTCCCAACCTGAAAACCTCTCACTTTTTAAAACCCAGTTTGCAGGAGGGGCAGATATAAAAAACAAAACTCCTATCCAAACCCTGCAAACCACCACCCATAAATGAAACACACAACACATACTATGGAATCACTCTTTATAAACTTATTCTTTTTGCTACCCTACAGGGTGCTTATTATCCAAAAAGGGAAAGCTCACAATTCAGTTAAATACAAGAACATCATAATCAGGTCCCCAAGCTACTACCTGCGGGTGGGTCCCTCATACTTTTGTAATGCCCCCTTGATACATTTCATAAAAGGTTTAGCTTGCAGGCACTGAAAGCAGAAATATATCTGCCTCAGGCAAAGCGTGTTGCAAGCCTTCCAGGGGGTTACTCCTTTATCTGGTAAACTGACCCCAAACTGTGCAGTTTCCTCCTTCCCTGTCAAGTCTCAACTTTGCTTAGTCCATATCCACACTCTTTTTTTGTAACTTTCAGTTAAGGGGGCCAGAGTTTGGTTTTTTTTCTTTTCTAAACAGGTATAGTTATACTGGCCCAGTCTTGAGTGTAGTTGTAGTGGTACTGGCATAAAGGAGACTCTGGTTTATTTCCCTTCCCATATGGCAGTGGTTCTCAACTCTGGTCCACCGCTCGTTCAGTGAAAGCCCCTGGCGCGCTGGGCTGGTTTGTTTACGTGCTGCGTCTGCAGGTTCGGCCAATCGCGGCTCCCACTGGCCACGGTTGGCTGCTCCAGGCCAATGGGGGCTGTGGGAAGGGCGGCCAGCATATCCCCTCGGCCCGCACCGCTTTCTGCAGCCCCAATTGGCCAGGAGCGGCCAACCGCGGCCAGTGGGAGCCACGATTGGCCGAACCTGCAGACGCAGCACGTAAACAAACCAGCCCAGCGCGCCAGGGGCTTTCACTGAACGAGCGGTGGACCAGAGTTGAGAACCACTGCCATATGGGAATAGCTATGCCAGTATTAAGAACCTTTATACCAATCTAACTGGATCCACCCGAGGGGAGGAGTTGTACTGCTTTGACTATACCGATATAGGTAAAGCACCTTTTGTGTGTAGACAAGCCTTGAGTGAGACATATTATCGTTATTTACCGGTATTTCAGGGGGTGGACATTTTTAGTGACCTTGTTCAGGTTAAAACACCTGCTGTGATTACTCTGTGTGTTCATTCCAAAAGGTAACTGTCATCAGGGTCCTAGTGGGGGCCAGCTGTGGTCACTCAGGGTGAACTGCAAAGAATGGGATAGACAATCCACAAAAAGCTGGTGGATATTTCAATACTTAGATTTACCAAACCAGTATAAAACAGCTTCTTTATTACCTTACTGGTTACTCAGAAGTTCAAACAACACAGTTCCCTTAAAGTAAGCTATTTTTCATTCAACACAGACAAATACTATTGTAAAAGATAGGTTGCATGACCTTCTTCAAGCAGTTATGTGCATAGTGAGTGGTGATATTCTCTCCTACAAGCCATGACAGTGTAGAAACATTTCAAGTTATTTACAATATACTGCCTAACACTAAAGAAGTGCTGCTCTGCTTCTGAGCCATGCTTTCATCTTAAGATATTAGTAGCATACTGGTTGAAATATTAGGACAAATAGGAATGGTCCTGCCCAGCAAGAGAGTCTCTAAAGCCTTTTGTATTTAGGGAGATGATTTTTCATATTTTAAGTAGATTACCATATTGGGCTGGAGACTGCCTCTCACCAAGGAAACATTCTATCCCAACCCTTTCTTAAAGCCAAAATCTCTATTGCAGATGCTGTGTCTGAGGCAAAGTGGAAATCTGAAGCACTATAAAGCAGCATGCTATAGCACACTGGTGCCATCTGATGGTAAGTTTTCTCTTTTCAAATCAACTGAACTTCCAGTTCCAGCCTTCTGAAAATGACATGTTTAGAAACACTGAATGTGCATGACTTCAGTTGCATAGCAGCAAGTATCTCTCATTCAGCCATGGTGAGGGATTACTGCACAGAACTGGGAGTCGGAGATTGGGTATCTATTCTGAGCCCTGTCATTGACTTCTTGAGTGACTTTGAGCAGTTCACCTACCCTTTTGTTGCTTGGGTTGCCCCAGGATTAAAATGGGAAGGATACTTGCTTCACAGTCGTGTGGCGGGTCTTAATTATTATTGATAATGATTGAGTGTTCCAGAAGTTAAAGTATGAAGCAATATGTTGTAGTTAAGTACAGTACATTGAACAAATGCAGATTGTCAGTGTCTTTCTATATTAAACATCTCTGTTTTTAAAAGCAAGTGTAAATTTAAAACATTACAATATGGCTTTATTTCCTTTTTTTTAGAAGTAACTGTCAATTACAGATATGGCCTTCCTGTGGTAACCCTTATGTTACCTTCAAGAAAAGAGCGCTGTCAGTTTACCGTCAAGCCAATGTTAACAACGGTGGGGACCTTCCTGCAGGATGTACAGAAAGAAGATAAAGGAATTCAGAGGGCAGAAGTCTTTACTACAGGTATTTACAAACTCTGCTGCCTGTTTAAAATAACCTGAACTTGTCCTTTCTTAAATAGGTTGTAAACAGTAATTGTCTTGGGCAGTATTCTTTTTCTCAGTCATTGATCAGATTCTATAGAACTAAAGAGGATGGGTGGTTCTTAATTGTTAGTACTCCTTAAGAGCATCATAAATTAATGATGTTCCATGGGTTAATTTCAGTATCTCCCTAGAGAAGCCTGATTAAAAATACAGAATTTGGACCTGTCAATTTAACCTTTTTATGATCTGGTACTTTTCTTTGATACCGTCTTCAAAAAGCTCATCTTTTTTACAGTGATTTTTTAATGCTTCTGGCTTTCCCAATATTTCTCCTACCACTAGTCTTAAAGGCCCCTGCACTGGGTTGAGAGAGAGTCTCTCTCTCTCTCTGTGTGACTAGTTGTGTCTGTCAATGTTTCTGTGAGTATGATGTAGAGGTTGGGAGACAACTTGAGAATAACAGTAGGTGAGGATTTATTTAGCTGAAGGCATAAATTTTCTTTTCTTGGTAAGAAATCTGTCTTCTGTTGTTCTGCGACCAAAACCAAGTGAGTTCCATTGTTCTGGAAACAAAACCCACTGTGGAACAGAGATCTCAATTTTTATCATTCCCTGAATGACAGAAATTCCTAAGGTCTTGCTCAAAGATGGGTATATGGCCCTTAAATAAGCAATTTGAGATTATCCTATAGGCTTGTTGTGAGAGACTTTTTGAGTGGGTTAGTGACTTTGTTTTACAAACTTAAAAACCCTTAATTAAGAAAATATTGCCATTGGCCTGCTGCTTTTATTTCCTTCCACCCCATACATACTTTCCGTTGGTGACCTCTCATTCTTCCGTTGTTTGTTACTCCAAAATCATCATCTTCACCACAATCTCTTCTACCTATCCAGTCTCCTCCTGTGTGTCAGCATCTCTTTCTGGATAGCCCAGCTCACAATGGGAAAAACTGAGGTTCTTGTATATCTTTCTCTGTTAACAATTTCACTACAATCCCTGTTTCCTAGGCTCACAGCCTCAGTGTTGTATTTGACCCTCTTTTCTCCTTCCCCCTATGTCCTGTTTGTTGCAAAATCCGATTTGTTCGTCCTGTATGTTTCTACTGCTGTGACTACCTTGATTCCCACCTCACACTCCTACAATCAATTCAAAATGTTGCTGCCAAAACTATCTTCCTTATTAGCCACTCTGACCAGGTCGTGTCGCTCTTTGAATTCCTTCATTGCCTACTCTTGGCCTTTCCAGCAGGTTGAAACTTCTCATCTTCACCTTCAAGGCTTTGCCCAACACTGTGCTTTCTCACGACTCTGCTATCACCTCGTGTTACGTATAGCTCTTTTTTCAGTCCAGGCACTCCTGCCTTAAACCATTCCCTATTTTTGTGCCTTCTTCCATGCTGGCCCTCACACCAGGAAGTTCTACAACTCCCTCTCTTGCTGTGTGCCAAGCTGCTTCTTTCAGACACCTCTTTAAAACACACTTCTGCCATGAAGCCTGTCAACTGCAGTTCTCCAGTCTCAGAAACATAAAGTGTGGAGCGACCTTGACTCTCCCTCAGTTGTCTCTTACCGCCCATGGCAATGAGGCAAAACCTGGCAATTGTCCAACATGATGGTTCTTAGCTTTGACTAAACCGTCCCAAAAATCTTCTACAAACATTCAGAACTCTTCTGATTCTTCAACATACGACTGCCATGATCTATATTGACCTGTCTGGACTGAGTATTGATGGTTAGACTGTTTCCCACCCCACCTCCTTCCTCGTATAGACCCCCTCTATAGTCTACTTAACATGGTGGACTCAACCTGTGGCTTCAAGCCCTGTCTGTCCTGTGATGGTCGCATTCCCCTGAAAGATAGACACAAATGTCTCTTCTGTTTGGGAGAGTCATGTATGCTGAGCGGGTATTTGGTGCACCTGTCATTCACCACAAGAATATGTAAGTCACAGGTTGAAGCTCCATCTTTTGGAGCCACCTATGAAGGTCTCATGAGACCCTGAGGAGACAAGCTCTAGAGTCCTTTTAACAGGCACACCAGCCTTACCTAGCACCCTGTCTAATAAGCAAGCGATTCCAAAGACTGGCGCACAGAAGAGGGTGCTAATAAAGGACTGGGCATGAAAACTGACCCCAGCATCACTGGCACCGAGGCAGCCCCCTAAAAACTCAGTACTGATCGGGGGCACTCTAAGCAAAACTCATTGTCCTGAAGATAGACCACATACGTCCTTTAGAAACAAAGCCCCATAGAACATTGAGCCGCTGATAAAGAGCGACAGACTCTTCCAGGCACCTGACTCTGGTGTCGATGCCTACTCTGGATGATCCTCCCCTGGGAGAACCTGAACCATCACTTGGGCACTTTGAAAATGTTGCTATGTATCTTTATTTCTCTACCAATGTTTTAATTCAACAAAACATACATCATGGTAACAAAGACTGCTATTGGCACAACACTCCCTTTAACACAAAACCACTTGATAAATTATTAGAATGTGCATCTTCTGTAGTTTTTAACTGTGAATGAGCCATTTTATTTTTCACATCCGTATAATACAAAACCAGGCAGACTTAGGAAAATATACCTTTGGGCTGAAATTTTGTGCTTATGCGCCAGAGGTGATTTTTTTTAGCAGGGAACTTTTTTTTAATAATCTGCTGAAAATAGAAATTAATGGTGAGGGAGCCTTTTCAACCAGAACTACCTTGTCATTACTGTGTGTGCTCATACTATAAGAACACTGTTATCTCTGAAATAGTATATTACCACTTACAAACTTTTACAGTTATAAGCAGAAACTTAGATTTTCTTCTTTCCAGAGTAGAAGAGTATATCATACTTGAACTACAAAATAGGCTCTTAATATCCTTTTTGTAATTAATTTTCATCTCTTAAAACATTTTTATCCTCTGAATTCATAAAGCGTGTAGATTGATTTAATGAAGGCAATAGTCTGTCTATTTGAGCATGTGGATAAAATACAGGCATTGCAAAAGTTATATTCTGTAATACTTTCTTATATTCTCTGCAAGCAAGAAAACAAATTGTTACCTTCAGAACTGTCTGGACTAGGACTTATGTGAGTTTTCACAATAGATTATGCGGTAATATGGGGCTATCCCCAATCTTTGCAAATAACTAAGTCACGTCACGATCCTGCAGAAAGTGCATCTGTGAGCACAGGTACCCCAGTACAAAGTCTTATTGATGTTAGTGGAGTCTACATGGAGTATTTACACTTAAAAGTGTAACTGTCTGCTGAATCCCATCCCTATATATTAAGCTGAAAAAGTTTAATGTTAACCACGCATTCTTAGCTTCAGTTTAAGCTTCAGTTATTTTGTTGATATAGTACGCAGTGCTATTTCAATAAGAAATTGCATGGCCACATATTTTGCAGATGTCCCTACCAATTCTAGAGGAAATATGGCTAACTTCACCAAGGATGGAAACATCTCATCTGATAAAGTATCTGGCTTGAATTTATTTAACAGTTGTGACATAGTTAATCTTCTACACCACAAACCTTCAAATGCCAAGAAATTGTAACAATGTAGAATAACTTTTATATTTACTTTATCAGGAAATGACTATTATACTGACAAGTGTTAGCCAAACACTATGGATTATTACATTTTAAAATGTGACACTCTATTTTTTTTTAAACAAGAAATGAATATCCCAGGAAGTTTTGATTTAAATGCAGATATTTCTCCTGTTCTTGCTAGTAGATAAAATGAAAGTAGAAAGATCTAACCTAACACTATATATTAGAAAAAGATAAGATAACCTGAACTGGCTTGTTTACTTTACTTTACTTTTTCTATGGATATCATTCTAGCACTGTATAAATTTAGAAAAAGAAAAGCTTTTTGTTGACATCTCTGCACCTGCAGTATGATAAATGGGAAGGAAAATTGCCTTGTACAGAAAATTGTTATGTTTTTCAGGCTTCCAATGCTTTTCTGTTTTTCCTCCAGTTAACAAAGCATTAGACAGGTTAATAAAGCTCAATATTGCATCAAATATGAAAAAGAAATCCTATCTGGAGCTTCCAAACAAGTGCTCCTTTTTGAAGTATTGTTGTCTTAAATGGCATTTTAATGAGACTGCTGAAGCTCATTTACATGTAAATTATTAAGGTGACATTTGTAAAATGTTGAAAAACTGAGTGGATGTGCACAATTTAAATTTTTTGGATGAAAGTGATAGTGCTCTCAGTTCGTCACCCGACCCACACAGAGTGGGTAGGGAGAACCAGCTGGTGTGTTAGCTTCTTGGGCTCATTAATAGAAATCTCAGCAGCTACTGCCAAATGGGTCCAGACAGCAGAGAAAGTGCAGGTGTGGAGTTATCTACAGTGTGCTTCTATAACAGGCACATGGAGACAGATGGAAAGTCTGGGACTGTAGCATGGCAGCATAAAACCTCCAGTATGCTCAGTCAGGAATCATACTTATATTTCCCCACTCGTATAGCACCTCTCAGCCAAGAGTCTCAAAATTATTAATAGGAAAATGGAGGTAAGATCAAACAGTTAGTCAGTGGCAGAGACAGAATCAGAGCCCAGATTTCCTGTTTCTCAGACCTCTTCTACATCTCCTGGGCAGTCTGTCCATTTCAGGTGCTGAGTCTCCAGTTCAGCAAAGTACTTAAACGTTTCCTTAAAACCATTAGGAGTGGACTTAAGCGTCTGATTAAGTATTTTCCTAAATTGGGGTCATCAGTACAACAAGCAAACTTATGTCAACAGTTTGCACCATAGATTTAGTGGAAGCAAATGGGATTGAGGTGGAGAGGAACAACAAAACAGTCCTACACTCCAGTGATTATTATATATACCATTCATGTATCAATATTTTCAGTGCTTCACTGTTTTAGAAAAGTCCTCTGTCTGCACCTGTCTTTCAGTCCTTCCTGTTTTGTTCCCTTGTCTGCAATCTTAAATAATTGTTCAGATTCATGTGAACTATTAATCTTTTTTTTTTTACCCTTATTTTTCATTGTTGGTGGGCTAATAAGTACTTCCACAAGTCTATGGACAAAAGGATGAGAATGAGTTTGAACTCTCTTCGACAGAGGCCAGTGCACTGTCTCCTTTCTGCCTCCTTACCTCCCTTAATAAGACTATTCATTATACACACCCCTTGCTCCCAATCAAAGCTAAAGCCTGCTTTAAAAAATGTATTAAAAGTATAAGCACTAAATTTTCCCATCTGTACTGACTGATTAGGAAAATCTGGAGAACAAGAATGCCAAAATTCTCTACTCCCAGCTAGAAGAACTCATCCAGGGAAAGGAAATCTGTAACCGAGTGAGGTTTGTTTAGTTTCCAACAAATCTTATTCAGGGTTCAACCAAAATTGTGTGTGAGAATGAGGACTGAAAATATAGGACTTCTATAGCCATGCTGAAGAGGCTGTCAACTTAATAGTAAAAAGTTGGCATGGAAAGGAGATACATCTTCATCTTTCTTCCTCCAGTGATTGATACTCTGATTTCAAACAATAAATCCCAACTAAAGAGAAATGGAACCACAGTAGTGATACTATAATTAAGGTTGTAAATAACATTGCATCATAATCTTGAGTTCTTGTGTGGAATTTCTAAGGTCTTGTCTTATGTTGTAGTATCCTCCATCCAAAACATTGCAAACATTAATGTTAGCCTCTCAATGCTTCTGAGAGCTTAACAGAACCATCTCCAACTAAGAGAAAACAGAGAGACAGAAAGAGAAACTTTGACTTACCTGCATCCCTCAATAAGTTTGGTGGTGCTAGATCTCCTGAGGCAGAGCCCTGTGTTGTAACCACAAGACCATTCTCTAGAAAGTGAATCTGATCTAACTAGTTTAATTTTCCAGACCAAGCCAAATGCAAAAGGAAATGGTTAAAAGTAACCAAGACTTAGTGTTAGGTAAAATGGAGAATTTTAAGGTCTTGACACAGGTAAAGAGAGTCTTTAAATATAGCTTTCTCGTTACAATGTCTCTCCTTGGAACTGAAATAAAAGGGAGGTTGCTAACAATAGTGAGTTATGCCAGACAGGTCAAATGAAATGCGGGCACTTTCAGATGATGCTTCTTGTCTTAATACTGTTAAGAAATGTATTTGTTAAAAGCACTTTGTTGTTGTATCTGCATACTGGCCACTTCCAAACTTAATGTAATGTTTATTAAAAGACAGTTTTATCTGGTGTTACTTTTGGAAACCGCGGACATAGAGGTTTTTCTTTTTTTTTAATAAAGTAAATTTTGTGTTAAGGATTTAAGCCTTCCTGTTTTCTCCTGCAGATGGTAGCAAGATCCCTGCAACAGCATTGATGGAAGTTTTGTTGATGAATGACTTCAAACTTGTAATCAACAACACCACTTATAGTGTACAAGTCCCTGTAAAAGGTAAGAACCACAGCTGTGTTGAAGTCTTAATAAATCTGATTATCCAGTTACATCTGTTCCAAGGCATATTTTTGTCTTTTTTTTAAAAAAAAAAATCATGGCAGTCCCCACAAAAAATAAGTCTGGCTTCATCTCCCCTTTGAGCCTCAGTTTGTGGCCTCATGTAAACACTCTCTGTAAACAGTGACAGTGTTTTCTTCAAAGAGCATTGCTTGATACATCTTACCAGTCATGACAGCCACATTTGCAGCTGGTAACCGTGTTGGTCCCAGAATATTAGAAAGACAAGGTGGGAGAGGTAATATCTTTTACTGGACCAACTTCTGTTGGTGAGAGACAAGCTTTCGAAGATACACAGAGGTCTTCTGGAGGTCACTGTGTAAGCTTGAAAACTTGTCTCTTTTACCAACAGAAGTTGGTCCCATAAAAGATGGTCCCTCACCCACCCTGTCTCTCTTGTGACAACCATAATCTTTTTTTCAGAGAAGTGGAGTAGAGAGCATGCTACTGAAGCAGAAGATATCAAATCCTTGGTTCATAGACTGTTCATCGCCCTTCATTTAGAAGACCACCAGTTAAGGAGAGAGAGAGAACTGCTTCAGAAACTGGACCACCTAAGGGAACAGCTAGTACCCCTTGAGCAGGTTGGGAAGGGTTTTTTTTTTTTATATATATATATATATATATAAAAAAATTCTCTTAACTAATTTCCATGACAAGACAATTCCAGCATGAATGAATGGGCCAAGCCCCCCTCATTTGTCAGACAGGTAGGTGATGGCCAGTTCATATGCAGGATTATTTTCAACCCAGTTCCTCCTCCTCCTCCTGTTTTTTGGCATAGCCTATTGAGAATTTCTAGAACTGGAGAAAAACTATGGTGAGCTGGCACTACCCTGGACTGCCTGGTTACTTTGTCTGAACCTGGTTGGGTGTCCGGAGTGATGTTGCCATATCACAGAAAAATCATTAGTTAATTAAAAAACAGTGTTGTTTTTCTGTGATGATGCTATCACCAGGTCAGCCAGTTGGATCTGACTAATGATGACCGTAACTTAGGAAAGGGGCAAACATGGTGAATCTAAGACAGGCCAAGCTAAAGTGACATGAAGGGATGAATAGGGAGGAGGAGACCAGTAAGAGCCTGATGGGGTGGGAACAGACCTCACACTGAAGGCAGCAATGTTAGAGCTGCTGTGAAAGCGCCTCTCTGAAAAATCAGGCAGCATCAGCTGATGTATGCAAATCCAATTGGTAGAATCCCAAAGGCGTGGATGGACGGCCAGATGGAGGCCTCGTAGAGCTCATTCCCTCTGTACTCCATGCAGGGAGTGAACTCAAAGCCTTTCTGGGAAGGGAAGGCCTGCAAGTGATACTCCTGGGGGAATTCTGTGCATGCACAGAATACATGTGTCCCACAGAATTTTATTTTTTTCCGCAGAAAATACATTCTGCCCCAGAAGTGCTGCAGTTCCGCCTTTTGACCACAAGAGGCCACTATGCTGCCAGAAAAGCCAACAGCATGAATGCAGCGGGCTGTTCTGTGCCATAAAAGGCCTCTGGTGGGCAAAAGGCGGAACTGCAGCACTTCTGGGGCAGAATGTATTTTCTGTGGGGGGAACAAATTCTGCGTGTAAGCAGTGGCACAGCACCTGGCCTGTGGAGCCAGGTTAGGACAGAGGGGGCACATGGGGCTGCTGGGGGGGGTCACAGACTGAGGTTCAGAATGGCTAGTGGGGGGGGACAGACTAGGCTGTGGGCTCAGGAGCTAGTGGGGTGACAGCATTGAGCCAGGAGTTGAATGGGAGTGGGGTGCATGGCCACATGGAAACAAGGGAAGGGGGCTGCAGGGACCCATTGGGATGGGGGTGGGTGGGAACAGGGGCAGATGTGCATGACTGAATGGGAGAGGCTTGGGATCAGCCAGGATCTGCATGAGGGAGGCCTCCCCAACTCCCTAACAATCCTGCCCCCCCCCCCCCCCAAAAAAACCCCAACCCTGTTCCATATTACCTCTACCCACACCCAACAACTCTCCAGGTTCACTCCAGGCTCCTTCCCTCTCCCTCAGCTCCTCTATTACTCCTGACACTCACAAGCCTTTGCACTGCTTCTGATGGGTGCAGGAAATACAGTTCTGTATTGTAATTTAAATTAATTACTCAAAATTCTGTATTAATATGCCCTATAAGGAATCTATTTGTCAAAAAAAAAAAAATTACCAGAATCTTTTTTTGGTCTGCATTGTTACAGATATACTTGCCAACAGATATTTTGAAATAAATTACTAAAATAATTTAAACTGGCATGATTATATTGTGTTGTGTTACTTTGACAGATAAAATATGCAGAATTTTAAAATATTGTGTGCAGAATTTTTTTTTTTGACAGAATTTTTAATTTTTTGGCACAGGAGTAAAGTGAGTAGGAGTCTTGAATGCAGGCTCTGATCCAGGAGGAAAGTACATACTGGGATGTGTTCTCTCCCTGGTGTCAGAGGAATGTATGAAATTAATATCCACATGTTGAATATGTGGATGAATATGTTGAATATGAATATGAATATGTTGAATGAATAACGTTTTTGTCCTAGATGAAAGCCAAAATTGCAACAAGTGCAGATGCAAAGACCAATAGGCTCCTATGGACTGGCTTAGCACTACTGTCCACTCAAGGTGGAGCACTGGCCTGGCTCACGTGGTGGGTCTATTCATGGGATATAATGGAGCCAGTGACGTATTTTATCACTTACGGGAGTGCCCTGGCATTCTACGCTTACTTTGTACTTACTAAACAGGTAAGTCCCATTATATAAACATGTCTGAAGTCATCTTACACTGATTTTCATAATAAATTAGCCTATGTATTTAAACATCAAAGTTCGTGTGCATGTGTGTTCTGTAGAACTGCACTTAGGCTGGAACTTTGTTTTTAATGTAGCTCAGGGATAAACTGCTCATCTGAGCTGCACTTAAAAATCCTGACTGCAATTAGTGACCAGGCGGATACCATCTGATGCTGAAAATGAAAACTATCCTCTTTCATTCAATTCTTTGTATGTGGCCCGGATGGTAACTGTATCTCATACGTCTCTACATAGAGAGTGGAAGTACTAAAGCAGGGCTGGTCAAGGAATGCAACCTATTAGTGGGCCAGGAAGGCAAACCCATCAGTTTTCTTTTTCTGTTTGATGGAGTTCAGATGTCACTTGACGCATGCATGGAAATTTTTCAGCTGTTTTTCCTGGACTACCTTTAGTTTATTTCCTTGAGTAAGATGCGGATTTTTCTTAAGTGGCCTAACTTCCTTTCTTGCTCTTGGATGTGCAAAGGAGAAGTCACAGGTTGGCATGAGGCATGTTTAGAGGAGGGGGAAGAGTTCCTGAACACCAAAAACCCAGAACGTGGACAAAGTGCAGAATGTGGAAATGGCCATCAATTCCTGTACAATATAAAGGAACTTACATTTTTGCCCATTAAATGTTTGGGATCCTACAATGTACTATAAAGCACATAGTTGGATAGTTACTTGTATTCCTTTTTATGCTGCATATTCAATAATGCCCTCCTCCATTTTTATTTTGTTTGGTATGGACATAGTTGGTGAATATCCGATACTTGCACATATGGAACCTATAGTACATATGCAAAAAACATCAGGTGGGGAAGGATGCTGGGTTTTGGAGCTCAGCTAGTTTGTTGAGGGCTGGGTTTGTGAGTGAGTTCTACTCCTCTTGCTTTCTGCTGACTTTCAGGAGGGTTGAGGTAATTCTGTTTGGATAAATTGATAAATACTAATGGCCTGATTTTCAGATGCTACCATTGTCTGGGATTTTCAAAGGAGCCTAAAGGCGTCAAGAACCCAACTTCCTTAGTCTCCTCTGACAATCTCACCTCTTGACTCCAATGGGAGCTGTGAGTGCTCTGCAATTCTGAAAATAAGGTCATTTATTTGTCATGGTTTAGATTTCTTCTAATTACTATAAGGTTTTTTATGTATGTTAGTTTGATTTAACTCCATCTGTAGAAATGTCTTTGCACTCCTAACCCTCTGCCTGCCCAAAAAACCGAAACATTTGTGTCCTTTTTCTATCTGTCAGGATTATGTTTACCCAGATGTTAAAGACAGACAATTCCTCCACTACTTCTACCGGAAATCCAGAAGCCAACATTTTGATGTGGAACAGTATAACAAGCTAAAAGAGGCACTGGCAGAGGTATTTTCATAAGTCTCTTAATGTACCGTAAGTGAATGATGCTGTGGTCTCACCATTTAAAACTTTTCAGTAAATCATGAGGTAATTGGAAAGTGGCTTTTAGATTTTATTTATTTATTTATGCATTTTAATTTTATATGCTAAAAATATGCATATGTAACAGATTACCTGGAGTTCCTTTAAAGGCTGGAAGGAAGGACTTAAGAATGGAAATTTGCAGCACTGCTCAGGCAGCCTGTGGAGGCTGGGGGAGAGTGTGAAAACAAGTCACTCACTTGTGTTGCTCAGTAGTGATAAACTGGTTTCTCTCTAGTCTCCATCTTCCATAGTGGCAGTGATATGGAACTGGGAAAAATCTTCACTGCTCTATGAGAAATACAGAGAGTCCTCCGATCCACAATAAATAAAAAGGACCCTGATTTATAGCCTATTAAGTAAATGGAAATTCTCCCTTGACTTTATTGGGTTTTTGATCAAGAACCCTTAGTGAATAGATGGAGTTAAATTTTTAAAAAAATAATTGGGTAGGATTCAAACTAGTTCCCTTTATCAAGGCTGGGACTTTAAAATATTTTCACTATCTGACACTAGTCTGGAGTGTGAATTTTGCAATTTATGCTAGAGCATATAAAATAATTCAGTTCTGCTGTTGTATGAAATGGGCTTTATAAATTTTCCTAGGCTTTGGACTGAAGATGACCGTGCACTATGCATGGGGTCATACATTCAGTCGCTTGGAAGGAGGATGTTTATGCATCTGTAGGGCTGCAGTTCCCGTTGGCCGGTCTGTTGACTGACAGATTAACTCACTAATGGCAGGAATTGTTTTTGGATGGTAATCCCTAGAGCGATCTGACCAGGAGTTTACACTTGTGATTATTGTGGGAAATCTGTGCCATAAGGTTAGTGTCTTCACAGAAGCGAAAGACCTGGCTACAGGGAAAGAATATCAAGAGTATGAAAGGAAGGTACAAATTAGGGGTGACTGAAAGGGATAAATATGGACACAGAATGTCCTCCATTTAATTCTCTCTTGCGTTTACAGGTTGAAGAGTCCCTGAGACGCCTGCATCAGCCCCTACATCTGCAACTTCCAATACAGGAAATTAATGACAAAGACTAATTTTTTTTCATAACTGAATTGTCATTTCCAAAACCGATTCCAATATTTAGTTTCTATGTTGCAAACTGAATATTTTTGACCACTATAGTTCTGAACATTACTAGAAATGTTGATTAAAACTATTATATCATTAGATTTTTAAAAAATAATTCCTGAAATAAAGAAATCTTTCAAAATATGCATTCAGATCTTGGAATAAAATTCTCGCCATTTTAGTAAATTGATGTGAGCATAAGAGTCGGAGTGGTGTTCTAGTGTACTGAAGCATTTTACTATTTTTTGGGGGACTATTAATAACAGCAGAGAATAGCACCAAAAATTTGATATGTCATAGAAAGATTTCTGGTATTTATGGTGAAATGTATTTTTATAGTTTAACAGGTCTCCTGTCTAATGTTCCAATTCAGGAAAGTCCATGTTTAAAATTAGGCATGTGTATAAGTGCTTTCCTGAACAGAGATGAACTTTAAATCATGTGGTTAAGTCATCCTGAAAGATAGTTCTCTTTTTGTGATACTAACTCTATTTTTATACTTCTGCAACATCTTCCATCCAGAACCTCTTGCCACTTATGAAAGTGGATAAGTATTATCCACATTTTACAGATGGGGAAACTAAACCATATAAAGGTTAAATGAGTAGCTTAAGGCCCCAAGCTGAGGGACCCAGGATTATGGAAACAGTTTCTTGGATCTCTCTCCATGGCTCTAACTTCTGGCAGTTGTGCTGTCTTAACTGACAAAATCAGAGCACAAAAACCTTGAACCACACACTAAGATCCTCTGCACTATTTGATTTTAAGTTACACAGCAAGAATACATTTTTAGAAAGACACCTATTAGAATGAACATACAGGGTTAGTTTCCATCTAATATCAAATGGGGTGGGAGGGGGCTGGCTCGGTTTCATTTTAGAGAAATACATTTGTTAGATGCTTTGATCATTTATCCTAATCAAGTTGTATGTGATTTATATACTGAATTAATAAAATTAATGATAAAACTAGTCAATCTTAGGTCAGTATATACTATACATTAAGTCTCAGGCGTCTATATAATATGGTACACCGGACCCTCGCTAGAACGTGGGATTTGGGATCCATGCACTGTACCGCGTTACAGCAGGGACCATGTTAAAATGAATTCCAATTAAAGTAATTAAATTTGGGAACCATGGCTGTGACCGCGTTATATGTGTTACCTCAAATCTAAAACAACAAACAATTTTGGACACCAAGTCAGTCACCTGTAGTTTTCTTAATTCAGCCTGTATTGCGTATTAATTCTTAGTGTATGCTCATCTTCAGGGGGCTGAAGAACATATTTGTACATAGCTCTCCTGACTAGTATAAACTCAGGGTGCTAGTACAGTAATAGATTAAAGTTTGGCATACAGTGTTCAGGGTACTATAAATTTAAATACACATTTTATTTAAAGATGTTGTTTTCCCATATTCAAAGATTGTGTGAAAATATTTGACCAAGCAATGAAGACTTCCAAATTTCTAAAAGGATATTTAAAATAATGCAGAATAAATTTATCAGGTAAAAGATTTGGCAACCTGAGTTTACTATTCTTGATTAAGTAAAAGGCAGAAAGATCAGTGGTTTTGGTTTGTTTGTTTTTTTGATTGATGGTAGGTCTCTTGGATTGTGAACTGACTATAGTTATTGTGTAAATTAGAGAGATAATAAATGGAACCCCATGCTGTCATTTTTCTAACTACAGCAGTTCTTTAAAGTTAAGTGAAGAGAAGGTATTGATCTAGTAAGGAAGAACCCAAACACAGCAGTGCTGCTTAGATGTTCGTTTCCTCCCCTAAAATTAAAGGCAAAATATCACACATGCTTGGAGCCTCGTGAAACACACACTGCACATTTTAATGTGTTGTAGGTGTTACATATTTTTTAAGATACAGAAAAATTACAAACATACCTTAGCTGCACTCCCTATAAATTAATGTCAGTGGAAGAAAAAAACAGCTTTTATAGTCTAATGCAGTTTTAAAAGTTTTGTGAAAAAAGTTACAAAATGCTATAATGCAGTTAGAAAGTAGACAAGGTATCACTCAAGTGCAAGTCAGAACATTTTAAAAAATTGGTTAAGAAGTGCTTTCTCTCTTAGGACTTATATGACCCTTATTACCAACGGATCTGAGCACCTTAAAATTTTTATTACACAGAAATCAATGTTACAATTATTTCCCCCAAAATTCCCTGAGACTGCTGTTGCTGCAATGCTGATTTATTAGAACAAAATAATAATTTCTAATATAGAAAGGTTTTTAAAAAATATTTAAATTATGGTTCCTGAAATTTGATCCCAGCATTTTCGTAAATAGTCCTGTTGAGGAAAATGCATGATGTGAATAACTGTGTAGTTCTCTAGCTACATTGAAAATCATGTTATAATCTATTGAACAAGAGAACAACCTTTCACTCAGTGATCTAGACTACAAGATTAAGTGATGAAGATATTTTCCATTTTTTGGAGTGAATCTGAATAAGATGCCATTCTCAGATGGGCCTATCTACTTTGATATTTGATAGAAGTGCAATTTTTTAGTCAGCATTGAGGCAAAACAAGGAATCTGCTTCTTTCCTATTGCATTAATGTCTCTGCAGATATCCACTTTGCGATGAGATACTTTCCTGTTAACCAGAGTGAGAAGTTCTGTGAACTCCAAGGAAGAACCATACTTTCTTATCATCTCACACAAGTCTTGAATATACCAGGTGCCATTTAGAGTTTCACGATGAGAATAGTAACCTATTGGGAAATAAGAGCATAGGACTCCATTTAACCTTAAATGAAGACTAGAAGCCACAGTTAATAACTTACAATATCACAATTTACTTCTTGCCAGTCATGTTCATGGACTGCAGATAAGTTTTAGATATACGTCTCTGCACTATTTATGCTGTCTTGGGTACTCAGATGTTAGAGATAAAAACAGTACTTTGGCAAGTTTGCATAATCAAATTTAACCTGGGATTAATAAGTACGGCCACACTGAGTCAGACCAATGGTCGATCTAGCCCAGTATCTTGTCTTCCAATAGTTGCCACTGCCAGATGCTTCACAGGGAATGAACAAAACATGGCAAGTGAGTGATCGATGCCATCATCCACTCCCAGGTTCTTGCAATTTAAAGGCTTAGGACACCCAGAGCATGGGGTTGCATCCCTGATCATCTTGGCTAATAGCCATTGATGGATCTTCTCTCCGTGAACTTATTTAATTCTTTTTTGAACATATTATAGTTTTGGCTTTCACACCACCCCCTGGCAATGAGTTCCACAGGTTGACTGTGTGTTGTGTGAAGTAGTACTTCCTTTTGTTTGTTTTAAACCTGTTGCCTCTTAATTTCATCAGGTAAGCCCCATGGTTTTTGTGTCATATGAAGAGATAAACAATACTTTTTCTCCGTACCATTCTGATTTTATAGACCTCTATCACAGCCCCCCTCCTTATTGTCTCTTTTCCAAGTTGAAAAGTCCCAGTCTTTTAATCTCTCCTCATAACTTATAATGGGTGCAACTCCATTTCTGACAACGGAGTTGCATGTTCGTGATTAATTTTGCCATTTGACTTTATACAATATTTTGCAAAAAGATTTTGTATTAATATTTGTATACCTTTCCAACATCAGATAATGTTAAGCTGAATGCAATATTGATTCAGTAGCAGAAACAGTTCTGTAAATTCCCCCTCTGGTGAATTACAGGAGAGTCTTCAGGATTGGGAATGAGATGGTTTGGGAAGGGCACCCACCTGTGTGAGGAGGTTTAAGAAATCACATCCAAATGACATGAGATTAGAAGTGCAGAAGAATATTTCCTCCTGACAGGTAGCTCAGTGATAGGGATGTGATCAGTATGCTTTGAGGTACAAAGTCATTTAAAAATTGCAAGTTAGATGGCATATTTTCATTTATTCTTAAGTCTTTATCCCATGTGCAGGAGACACCACTACTAAAGCAGATATGCAAAGTGGCGAGTTTAAGGAACTTGAATTCTTGTTTTGATTGTGTGACGAAGAAACTCTGCAAGCCTACTACATTTAGTAAAACAGGAGTTAGATGCTAGAAACTTAAGTGCAAAATAACAACATACCTTCTGCAACCGAATAGCACATCAGAAAGTCTGCACCAGCAGGTAAAGTATATATAGCTGCAGCATCCACTTCAGTTTCGTTGACCTTGGACTGGTCTACAATACTGTCCACTGCATCCGGAACAATGACTGGGTCATCGTGTTTATCCCCTCTACATGCCTAGCAGGAGAAAAAGCACTGAATCCTCTCATCAGCCAAGTACAGTTAGCCCTCACCGAACAAAATTCTAAAAGCAGAAGTGCTTCCTGTTTGTTTAGATGGTCTTAATTTATGTAACTAAGTTCAGAAAGAACTACCTTTTGTCCTACTTGTACGTCCCCGAGGCTTTCATTTGTAGAGCAAGCTGTTTAATAGGGCCGGGCACCAACTTAGAAATATCAAAGCATAGCAGACCCCATACTGACCTATTCTTTACTTTTGGAAGGAGAAGAGGGAGTAGCCTTACAGATCAGTTCAAGGAGAGTGTTCTGTGTGTAAGTAGCAGCTTGAAAAGAAGTGTGGGACTACCCTTGTGAGAGACGCAGGTGCATGAGGCTGGCATTGTCAGTGAAGCAGAGTGGGGGACTCAATAAGATGCAAGTTTCAAGGGGTTCAGTACTACTTTGACTAATGACTTGGTTTGCATTGTAAATTAAAGCAAGGGTGGAACTGATTTTAGGTTATGTCTCTAGTTTTTGTTTTATGCGTGAGTCTACATTAGTAGGAGCCCCTAAATCATTAATTTTCCAGTTGAGATACTGAACTTCTCCCCTGCTTGCTGCTCTTACTTCTATAAAATCCAAAGTGGATTTACTCTCAGTATAAGGTGTTGGATTAACAGCAGATTTAATTCTGTAGGGACTCTGTGTCTGAATGAGGTTTCACCCCTACAGGACAGCAGCTATAAAGTGGTTCATCCAGGGGATGGCAGCTTTAAATTGAGGCCAGGTCTGCACAGGATTGTTGCATATGGAGGCCACTCATTTCCTGAAGGCTCTGGCCACTGTCACTCATCTTGAGTTATGCAGCCAATTTGAGACCCCACTGGAGCAAGAAAGAATTCCTTTGCTAAAAGGCCAGGAGAGGCCAACATAGTGCAGGACTAATCAAGCTCCAAATATAGAGGTTTTTTTTTTCACAAAAATGTTAAGCACAGGTCATGCAGTACAAACTCCCCACAGCATCAGGCCAAGGGACCTCATCCTTGACTGGGAGGGAACCATCTGATGGGGCAAAGATGTAGTTCATGGAATTTGCCCATTCAGTCTTTAGCCTTCCTAAGTCTGGCATCTAGGTACCAGTTGTGGTCACCTAAAAATATGAGCTGAGGCCACTGACTCTCTTCCCCCAAAAAATGATGGCAATGGTGTCTGCTGCTGGACAATTGTTGGCCATCTATCCTACACGGTCTTGATTTGAGCTGGCTTTCATGTATCAGTATAATTTCACCATTGTGACTCATTGGCAGCTTCATTACACAATTATTTCCTGTTTTAGTTAGCATAGCAAAAAATCCAATTTAACTGATGCTCAAACGCTTTTGTACATTGGCTAAGATTTTCCAACCCAGGCTACATAATTTAACCCACAGACTACTTGATGCCAACTGGCAGAGGGCATAGAGAGACAGGGATCCCCTGGGTTCACTTTAAGATGTCACGTAGGGTCTCTGATTAAAGCTGTGTCACACTGGATGTCAATCATTGCAAGATGTTTTTTATATATAATATGTATATTATAATGCTGAAAAATATGTTTTAGGCCTTATAGCTAAAAGCAGCATGTCTTGAAACAAGTGCCTCCTGTCTGGAGAAGTTTTTCTCCTTAGTGGACCATTGTGTGTTTTACAATAAAAGTTTATTAGTATAGTGAGTTAAATGCTAATGAAGAGCTTGAAGAGAATTCAGAAGAGGTGAAGATCAAAGTTCTCATCTGGTATATCTGGGAGTGCAGAGAGAGACCCTAGCATCCTTCAATACATGAAGACAAGCTGCAGTCTTGATCTTTTGAAAGTGGGATTTCAGCCAGCTTGGTTGAAAAACGCTGGGAAAAGGCACTGGGGTAAGCTATCATGTAGAAGACCGGGAAATGTCCCATGAGTTACGTTTAGGCTCGACAAAGTGTGTTATGACTGTTTTATATGTAACCATTTATTTTCAATAGTCTTAATTTCTATTATTTGAATCTCTGTTCTTTGATGATGAACTTATTCTTGTTTTCACTTTAAACATTTCTAACTGCTGTGTGTTAAGCAGAGTGGTGATCCTAGTTGACCTGAGTAAGCTGCTTTGGGAGTAGCGAATCTGAGTAGCATGCAGTGGAATGGGCTGAGCACTCCAGAGGGATGCTCAGAGGACTATGGAGTTGGAATGTGCCTATCATTAACCTGGAGAGAGAGAGAGAGAGAGTTATGACTTTGGAGGCCTGAGAGGTAGTGCGTGTGTTGCCAAAGGCTGATGGAGACAAGAAGCTGATCCACAGACAAGACTTCCTCTCTCTAAGGGCAGGTAGTAGCAAGCTGCCTCTTGGAAGTGTCATAATAACCACCGCCTTTTCCACATGAGAAGAAGTTATCACAAAAAAAACTGTCCTCTGTGCCACTGGGGAAAAAAGTACACAAATTCAAGAACAGAGATCTTACCTGAATTATAAATATTTTAGGCTTTCCTACTAGACTCGGGCAGTTGTCTCCTCTGAACATGTTTGTCACTGTCTGAACTTTTATTTTAGCATCATAGGCGTAAACGTGATTATCTTCACCATGGCTCAGGAACACACACACAAAGCAGTCAGCATCACTGTGGTTGTCCATTGACACTAAAATAGTGGAACTGTGTTTAGATGATTACGCAAGCTTACAGTATTTATTAAACACCCCACCATTAGTCCACTTAAGACCACATTTAGCCATTTAATCTCAAATCAGTCGTATTTGAGATATGTTGAGCCAGAGTCTCAGCTGCTGTAAATCAGCATAGCTCTGCTGAAGTCTGGAACTACACTGATCCATACAAGCTGAGGCTCCAGTCAACTGGAATTTAGAGAGATGCTTAGTAAACACTACTTCTGTTGGTCATAGATGCATCTTGGGAATTCCAACGCTTGCAATATAATACAACTGAAGATACCACGGTATAAAATTACATATTTTCTGTTCCTTAGTCTTTTTATGTTATGGAACTTCATCACAGAAGGGAAACAATTCAGGTTACAGTGAACTTGTCTTAAGAGTGTATTTCTCTATCACTGTTATCTAGAACTTCTCCTGCAAGCAGACTAAGACATACCAACTACATGGTCTCCTACCTTCATAAATGTTCCGCATAACCTCTTCTGCTTTAAGGTCATCAAAGCATCTGACTTCAAATCCAAGCTCTGTCAAACTATCATTAAACACACATGTTTTAATAAGTATCCTTTTTGAGTTATGCTAAAAATGCCACCACTTTTGTTGCTCCCTTTAGAACTCTGTACCTTTTCCTTGAGAGAATAGATATTCATGTTAGTTTATGTAATGGTACCCAAACCTGATCCCCAGGGGTGTCTTAAAGATGCACAGGACAAAAAAAAAGTCATTTATAAAGTGAAGGCGTTCTCATGAAATAGGAATTCTGTTAAGAGCAAAAGAAAACACAAATAATGGAGGTACTCCCTCAGGGACCTGTCTGAAAACCAACCAATATGCGAAATAAAGTAGAACTTCCATTTTTGCCAAAATGCAATTTCATTTTCAGGCAACTATGAGCCAAACTGGACAATTTTGGACTTTTTTTTTGAAGGGCTATAATACTATCAAATCAGAAATTTAATATAAACAGAATATAAAAACTTAATCATGCCCTGAAATATGCTGATGCTGGGCTATGCCACCTCCCTGTATTAAGCTTTTGGTTCGGTTAATACATGCAGCCACTTCCCTTGTGAGCTCTGTGCTAATCTACTACACTTGTAACTGGTTACTTTATAAACATCAGGTCAATGCTAGCCTAGCCTGGGTGCTTTATCCATTTTTACTCATTTCCTCAATCCATGATGTGCTGTTGTTGCATAGTTCCATAGGCTAAAACAAAATTCATTATGGAACTGCATTTCTTGTGAATGGAATAGTGGGTTTGCTATCACTTCTTTTGAGGGACATGTGTTTCTAATTACTATATCTAATATTGTATGCAGCGTAGCTAAAGTTGTGTCAGTCCCAGGATATTAGAGAGACGATGAGGTAATATTTTTTTATTGGACCAACTTCTATTTAGTGAGAGAGACAAGCTTTCAAGCCACACAGAGCTTTTCTTCAAGTCTGGGGATGACCTGAAGAAGCGCTCTGTGTGGCTTGAAAGCTTGTCTCTCTCACTAAATAGAAGTTGGTCTAATCAAAAACATTACGCCTCAACTACCATGTCTCTCTATATCTAATATTGTCAGTGATGGCAGAGTCTGAAATTTGTTGGTACTCCACAGCGGACGACAACTAGTGCTAGGAGACATGGGTGTTTTCTATAAGTCACATATCCCTTCCTCTTTGCATATCTAAATTGTTGTAAAATAGCATGTGGCTAAGCTTAGACTATACTGGCTCCTTGAGTTAGCCACATAAACATACGGATGTACAGCACAATTGTGCCTGGAACAGAGCTGTCCTGCGTCCCAAAAGCTGCAGTTGCCTATTTTGCATCTGCGAGCAGCTAGAACTATGTGCACTTGCTAGGTGAATAGGAATAAAGGCTTCTTAACTTCCTTAACTTTTCAGTCAGTTTTTGAAATTGTATCATACAGCACATCTGTTTACCCTACAAACCTGACCTTGAACTACTCTGCTATTGGACAGCATAAGTTATTGAACAGATTTGAACTTCACATCACTTACTCAAACTGGTTACTGGTTTAGTGAATCACAGGAAGTGCAAGATGTGAATCAACAAAAGTCAATTTATCTCCTACCGTAAGCAGCACAATTATAAGAATCTCATGTTTAGAACTTCTATCTCAACAGTAGACACTTGCGTCCAACCATCACTTGGTTTGAATGCATTAGGGATATTAGATGAATTAATGTTGCCAAGCAATATTAAATGGGCACAATCAGCTTGAAATCTAGTCAATTACAAAAAATGAATTGAAAGTAATTTCAGGTACTCTACCTTTCTCCCGGCACTTCCTACCGGTTTGTGACGTTACAATCAAGTTTATCTTTTTTCTGTATTAACCAATGAAAATATTTGTGTTCTATTTTCCCCCTCATCATATTGAGACAGAAAAATACATTGTTTGTTTAGTTACACAATACTAAAAAGCCTTTAAAAATTAAGATCACCACTTAGACTGCTGAGGTACAGGCAGCCATCAGGGTAAGGAAGACTATTTTCACAGGGCCTGATCCTGTCCCCATTGAAATCAGTGGGAGTTCTGCCTATTATTTCAAAGGGAGCAGAAGCAAGCATTTAACTCTTTTTATCATGGGGTACTGTGCAAAATCTTTCAGTCACAATTACGTCAATGAAATCAGTTATTTTACAGCTGCTTATATAACCTTCATGACAAATCACTTTGAATGGCATATTTTTATTTAACTTATCTAAAAATAGTATCCTTCTGTAAAGCAGCCAAATATCATCTTACCTGCGTTTCAGATTGTCTCTGTCTGCAAGTGTGCCACGTCTATCTGGCAGTGTTAAGTGCCAGAAAAACTGCTCATGATTGAAGATTAAAGCAACCCCTCTTCGCCTGTGGTTCATTTTGTATTGTGCTTCTGGATCAAATGGTTGGCTGTTACAAAGAGAGAACATGCCTTTCAATTAACAAATAAATAATTATTAGTTCACCTACGTATGTTCAGAAGCCAAGATTTTCAAGAGTGACAAGAGATGTTGGGTACCCAAAGTCACATTTGAAAACCTGGGGCACATTAAATGAGTCATTCAAAAATCTCATTAAAGAACTGGCTGCAGTAGATAAAGGCCAATAAGTTCTGAGTTTAAAAAGCTGTTTCTGTAACTTTAATTGTTTGCTTGGATTATCTGTTGAATTCCAGGACAGACAACTGCCAGTGCAATAACTAGGCACATTATGATAAATTAAAGTGGAGTCTGGACTCAGTACTGATTCTCCATGTTTCACAGTTTAGCCATACTTCTTATTTTAAAAGTTATAGAGCAGACCCCTTTCGATAATGTAAGTGTGCACTAGTTGGAATTTTGTTTGAAGTTACTGTTTAGTGAATCACATGCAACATGAACATGGCAGTTTTAAATAGTCACATAACTTTCTGAAGACAACATTGCAATGTAAGTTTCTTATGCTGGTGGGACAGAGCGAGATTTTCGTCCATGCTCACCCGAGACAAATAACTCAAGCAAGATGAAATCAAAATGTCCTTAATACCCGTGACTAAGTTACAAGTCTGTAATATTCAGCATTTCTGCTCTTAGAATCACCGTGCTCAGCAGTCAAAAATCAGGACAGGGAAAAAAGGTAGAGAAAGATGGGGCATTTTTCTTCCCCTTAATTATTCAACCTACACCAGTAGGAAAATTGTCGGATATAACCAGCGATAGTCTCCAAATCACTTGAGCAGCGATGGTGTGGACTTCTAAAAGATAAATTTACATACTAGGCCACAGTTTAAAAAAAACATGAATATCAGCCATAAATATTTGGTGCATACAACTTATCTGAATCTACTGAAGAAAGAAATTATCTTATGGAATGAAACAGTGATCCCTGTCTAACTTGAGATGCATACTAAAAAGCTATTTCCAAATACCCACTAGGAAGCATATGCAATGTTTTAAACAACTTCTCCCATGAAATCAGGACAAAAGTAAACATTCCACTTGAGAAGGCCTGAAACCAAATACTTACCTATCAAAAATAGCTAGCATGACTAGAGCCAGTTGTAGGGCAGTGTGACCCAACCTGGGCTATCACACTTGGCACCCTAGGACTGACCATGCGTGTTTTCAGTAAACAAAGACATAGTTGGAGGCTGCTTCTCAGCCGCTATTCCCTATATTGCTGCCTCTATGTGCTAGAAGGAGCAACTTTCTCTCACACTTTGTCCCCACCATTTGTAGTATATGTATTTGTAATATGTCAAATATTGTATGTGCATTTGTCTAACTAGCCCATAATCCATATACGTATAAATATATATATATGCTAATTGTTCTTATAAGCAGAACAAACTTGCAGTGAAATGCTGTGGACTGTTCTAAACATATAACCAGGGCCATTTGGTTCCTAGATCTTATCTAACAGGAAAAAAGATGATGAGGGGAAAAGTTAATTGATGGGTGGGTTAATGGTTGGAGAAGGGGTGTTGAATGAAGTCTGTGAAAATGGCTGGTATGAGGACATATGGAATTCTTGCATGTCATCTCAATAGCTGTAGAACTGGCTCTGGGCACAGTTTCCCCTGTATTTCTTCTTTATTAATCACTTACACACTGCCCCCATGAATGGTACGACCTTCCTGAGCTCATCTGCAAAGTCTCTACCCTGTCCACATTTAAGTCCCTCTGAAAGACCCACTTCTGCTGTAGTGTTATAGTAAATCAAGTTGATTCATAAAAAAGCAACAACTTTGTTTATAGATTCAGGCTTTAAGGCCAGAAAGGACCATCATGATAATCTAGTCTGACCTCCTGCACATAGCAGACCCCAGAATCTCATCCACACACCATGTAGTAAGCCCATAACCTCTGGCTGAGTTACTCAAATTTTGATTTAAAGACTTCAAGTTACAGCAAATCCACCATTTATTCTAGTTCAAACCAGACCTCAAATATGATGATCAGTTAGACCCTGACCATGTGGGCAAGACCCACCAGACACACACCTTGGAAAGAATTATCTGTAGTAACTCCGAGTTCTTCCCCTCTAATGTCCTATCTCTGGCCATTGGAGATATTGACTAATAGCAGTCATGGAAGGGCCACATGCCATTTGTGCGCAATCTTGTCATACTATCATAAGCTTATTAAGCTGTCTTGAAACAAGTTACGTTTCTTGCCCCCCACTACTCTCCTTGGAAGGCTGTTCCAGCACTGAATTTTTGTAATGGTTAGAAGTGGTCATTTCTATCTTTAGCTTGTAGTATCCTCAGAGCAGAGACCTGCCCCCCCTCCCAGCTGCGACATGTCTGGAAAGGGCTTAACATAGAGTGGACATTAATATAATGTAAATTTTGTTCCTTTATTGTATGTATTTTTCAGACAATTTGTTTCCCTGCATGTGCAATGTGTGCCTGTTGTTCACATATTGTATTTCTTAGTTTCCTTTCCTCCTCCATATAGTTATATCTGGAACGTACCTTTTACTTTAATCCTTTTAAAATACAAATACTCTATTTAAAAAAATTAATGCACGAACCTAATTTCAAATGACTGCTCAATTCCAAAAGAATTGTGTTGTGGTGACATCCACCCAGTTTCATGCTGGTTGTGTCTCCTATCCCTGTTACACTTGACATGCATCACCTGTTTTTCATGGGCTGGGGGCAGAGCCACCACTAGGAACAAAGAGACCTTCCAAAACAGGTAATGGGGGAAGTGGCAGCAGTGAGGTGTGTGTGTGTTCGCACACATGCATATTAAGAGCTGGGTGTAATTTTTCAGCTGAAACTTTTTTCACTGAAAAAAATGCAGATTTGGATTGACCAAAATATTTTGGCAAATTAATGCTGACTTTGTGAACTGCTTCAGTTGAAAAAAATGTGGAAATGTAGAAATGGTTCATTTTGACATTTACGAAATGTTTTGATTCTTCAGCTAGATTCAGAAGGGGAATTAGAGGCCTAACTCCAACATTTAGGCACCACTCACAGCACTGATGAGGAGCTAGTCCCTTTATGCCCAATAGCCAGGCAACTCACCTGGGATGTGGGAGACCAGGACTGAATGCCCCCTGCTTTGAACACAGGTCTCCCCACTCCCAAGAGAGTGCCCTAACCAGCTGGCGATTGGAGGCTGAAGTAGGCTCCCTCAGTCACTCTTGTTGAAGCTGTTCCACTTTGCATAAATAAATATTTATTGGGCTAGAGAGAAGTGGTGAATGCCCTACCAGACTAGAGAGTAATTATCATTCTCTCTGTCCTAGTGACTATACCTATTTATACAAAGCGGAAGGGCTTCAACAGGAGAGCTTGAGAGAGACCCCCACCAGAATATCCCATAGCTCAGTCGTAAGAGCACTCTCCTGAGAGGTGGGAGATTCCTGTTCAATTTTTTTTCTCCTCCACCCTCTCAAGGCAGAGAGGGTGGAATTAAACCTGGGTCTCCCACATCCTGAGCGAGTGCTCTAACCAGCCACTGGGCTGAACATTGTAAGAGTAGCAGCACCACCTCCTCATCCTCCAGCTGGATTTTAAGTGGGGCCTGATCTGGTAGGCATGCTCTGAGTATTTCTACTACGTTGATCCCACCAGCAAGAGAGGTTGGGGAATGACTGTCTTTCCCTGGTTGGAGGATCATGCTGGTACTTTGGCATCTGGATGCCTGGAGTAAGGCAGCAGTGCGCATGCTCAGAGACAGAGACGTACTGCACCAACAGACCTTTACAGCAAAAGTTAGGCACCAAGTAAATTTAGGTGCCTACAAGGTTAGGCAGCAGCTGAGCAGGGGGTCTGTGGATCACAGCAGCACCTCAACCAGGAACTTGGGCACCTAAATCCCTTTGTGGATCTGGGCCCTAAACACACCCCTTTCCTCTGCATTTCACTCCTGGCTAGCTTAGGTAGCTCCTAAATCAGCTTGCTGGCTCCAGTGGATCCCATTCTTAGGAATCTAACTCTCCCCATGCATTGTGTGGGAAATCCGGGTACCTAACTTCGGACCATGAATTCTACTCGATAGCAGGTTGCCAAGGAGGTTAGTGTTGCAATGCCTACGTTCACTTCACGAATCTAGCCCAGGGGTTGGCAACCTTTGAGAAGTGGCACGCCAAGTCTTCATTAATTTAAGCTTTTGCGTGCCAGTAATTTTACATTTACAGGGCTCCGCAATGGAACCCCAGACTGGCAGTGGGCTGAGCAGGACTGGCAGCCAGGACCCCGGCTGGCAGAGGGCCGGTCACTGGAACCTCAGACCAGCAATGAGGTAAGTGGGGGCGGTGGCTGGTATCCCAGGCTGGCAGCAGGCTGAGCAGGGCTGATGGCCGGGACCCTGGCTGACAAGGGGCTGGTGGCCGGAACCCCAGACCATCAGTGGGCTGAGCGGGGTGGCGGACAGAACCCCAGACCGGCAGCGGCTGAGCCGCTGCCGGTCTGGGGTTCCGCCGGCTTCTGTCAGCTGGGGTCCTGGCTGCTGGCCCCACTCAGCCTGCTGCCAGCTGGGGGTTCTGTTCACCCAGGCCGGCAGCGGGCTGAGTGGGGCCGGGGGACGGGACCCTGGTTGGCAAGGGGCCAGAACTCCAGACCGTCAGCGGGTTGAGCAGCGTGGCGGACAGAACCCCAGACCAGCAGCGGCTCACCCGCTGCCGGTCTGGGGTTCCGCTGGCTCCTGCCAGCCGGGGTCCCGGCCACTAGCCCCACTCAGCCTGCTGCCAGCCGGGGGTTCTGTTCACCCAGGCCGGCAGCGGGCTGAGTGGGGCCGGGGGTCGGGACTCTGGCTGGCAGCAGCGTGCCAGTAAAAATCAAGGGGCCGGTGGCCAGAACTCCAGACTGTCAGCGGGCTGAGCAGGGCCAGCGGCGGGCTGAGCGGCTCAGCCAGCCGCTGGTCTGGGGTTCTGTCCGGTGGCTCCTCCCAGCCGGGGTCCTGGCCACCGGCCCCACTCAGCCCGCTGCTGGCCTGGGGTTCCGTTCACCCAGGCAGGCAGTGGACTGAGTGGGGCTGGCGGCCGGGACCCCAGCTGGCAGCAGTGTGCCAGTAAAAATCGGCTCGCATGCCGCCTTTGGCACGCATGTCGCAGGTTGCCAACCCCTGATCTAGCCCACGTCTCCTTCTTACTGTATGTATTTGTTCACTGTCCAGCACTGAGGAACTCTGATTCTTCCTAGGGCCTCTGGGTGGTGCCATAATAAAATAATAATGAACACTACTACTTCAGTGATATGTAGGAGTTTGATACACATGTTCTGTAATGTTACGGGGCCTTCTTTGGTACTCAGCTTGGGCTCTTACCAAAGATTTAAAAAACCCCAAGTCATAAATGTTTTGAGTTTCACATTCACATCTCTCTCTCTCTTCCATTACCATCTTTAGTCGTTCTGCCTTTACCTTCTCTCAAGGGCATCTGTTTCTGTGACGTTTTGGTCTCCATCTATAACAAAAAGAGAGCCAAAGGGTATTTGAATTACTAACCCAGTTGTTAAAAGAAAATTTGATATCTTAGGCAGTGGGAGATTTTCAAATTTAAACTTAAATCAGGGCTTGAGTCATGCTACATCACCCCAGAATGCCATTCCGGCACTTTATTTGGTGGGGTTCCGTTCCTACCACGTATGAGTGATAGTTCTGGAAATCCATTCCAGCATTTCTTTTTTAAGGACTCATATGTAGAGCATGTGCAACAATCTGTAAAGTACACTTGATAACATAAACAAGGAGTTCATGCACAGGCCAGATAATTAGGCATGAAATCACCTGATTTGCATTAACGCCTATTGGGGTGCACAATCATATGGGTTTACTTTTGGAGGCCATTCTTAAACATGTGACCCTCAAAGACCAGATTTTTAAAATTGCAAAAATGCGGATGCATAAATTGTATATCAGCAATCATGGACACTGCATATACAAATGACAAGCTCTCCGTCTGGTTATTTTAACACACAGCCTCTGTAATTTCATGCAAAAACTCTGCATGCTTTTGTATACACTATTTAATTTCTAGCACATAGTGGCACTTCTTTTAAATACATGATGCAATCAGCCTGAAACTAAGCATTTTCTTTGAGGCTAGCTCAACAATTTAGTAAGTGATGTAGGTATTGGGACATCCAACTAGCAGAAAAATTCTAAAACATGCAAACAACTCACACCCTTTCTTCTACTAAAATGCATAGAATACGTACATCCGCCTTGTTAGTACACCCAAAACTCCTACTGAAATTAACAACACTATTGAGTGTACAAGGAATACAGAGCTGGACCTACTGTTCTAAAGATGTTAAAGATAAAGCTGTCAACTATGTCCTGCTCCCATCTTCTCCCACCTATACGTTAGTGTCTCCATAGATCTGAAGATATCTCACAATCCATATTACCAAAAGTGTGACAGCCCACAATATTCTTTTTAACCTTGCCATTTTATGAAAGTAATACACTTTACTGTACCTTTGGTATTTAAAGCAGGCCCACTATCCACCTGGATTTGCCCTGCAATTGAAAACACCACACCAATGTCACTGTCATAACGTACAATGTATCAGCTGCAAAAAAGAAAATGTGAGCACATTTTTATACTACACAACTCACACCCTTTCATAATTTGTTTCTGTAATAAATCAAATGAATGGAGTCATAACATTGAGCTATGATGGACCACATTTGTTAAATTTTGTGATTATTTTTTGCCCTTTGTGGCCCCATCAGTACCCTACCATTGAAATCAAGTCATGAAGGCCTTGTCTACATTAGCACTTCTCCTATTACTGGTCTCGCACAGGTATAGCTCCACTGGTGACAACAATGGTGGAAAAGCTAGTGTAGACCAGTTGCCAGTGTTTTTACCATCATGTTGTCTAACTGTCAAGGTTAGATGGAACAGTGTAGAAAACACCTGTAGCCTGTCTACACTAGCAAGTCCACTGCGGCTACCACCAGAAGAACTGCACCAAGGGTGCTAGACTAATGATGGGAGAAGTGCTGAAAAGTATTAGCATAGACACAGCTAAACTTAGCAGTAATGACATAGTTCAGAATCTTAAACAAAAGAACTATTACAGAGAGTGTGTGTGTATGAGACTCACAATAGTTTTTGCCTGCAAACCTGGAGTTAAGGCTGATAAAGTATCACTTCAGCCAAAGTACACCCAACCCTTGAAAATATGATTGTTTCCCTTAAAAACTGTCTTTCCTTAACTTGGAATTTCCAAGTTAAGTTCCCACTTAATTGCCAACCTCTCCCAAAAAACATACCTAAGTATGCAAATACATAGTTAAGGTCTCTGTGATCGGGGTATTGGGCCTATCTCAGTGTTGACAAGGAAAAGTTAACCTTCCTCTTTAGGAAGGGCCACCGCTACATGTGCATAATGATGGGATATGCAGAGTAGTGCAAGCTGTGGGGAATTAATGAATTCCAGAAAAGGGAAAGAAAGAATCAGGCAGGGGGCTTGACACAAATAAGCTTCAAGGGAGAATAGCTGAGCCAAAGGACTTGTCTTATGCTGAAGTAAGCCATGTTGTGTGTTGAGTTTTATCTGACTGAGGTAAGATACCCTTTGTTTGCTGGGTCTCAGGCTAAAGAAAAATAAAGAGGACTTCTTGCTTGCTCTTAATTTCATTTCTGTTTAATCAGTTTCTTGTCATTTTTACTTTGAGTTTCACATACTCAATTAGAAAAACTCTACAGTATTTGGACTGCAAACACTGCTGGGAACTGTTCATTTGGGTTGTTGTTTTTTTTAAAGTTTCTAAATTTTTAATTAATGAAAATGTTCTGTTGGTCATAAGTCTTGTAAAGCTGGTATTTTTCAAAGGAACATCAGGGAGTTAGAGGGGTACGCAACTTCCATTGGATTCAGTGGGATCTGGGAACCTAAATTTCTGTTGGCTCCTTTGAAAATCCCATACTAAAAGTTTCTTTTTTACAATATCTAAAATTTGCGCCAAATGAAGTGACAATATACCTTTCAAAATTCACTGATACTCAAATCTGTATATTCCTTATTGGTTAACTCTAAGTGAATCCTTGGATTCACTCATCAATGACTGCAATCACATGGTAAAGGTATATTTACTGAGGCCTAGATTGTTTTCTCCTATGGGAATTGCTGGTGCTACCAAGTTGCTTGAAGTCCTAGTCACACCTAAGACCTGGTGGCATTCTCAAACGATCTCTTAAAGGGAACCAAGCCAGTAGATATTCTCAGAAAATGCCTCCCAGTTAGGGCCCTGCACAAAAGACAGCCAGGGACAAGCAGTGGTGGGGTATTTCTAGCTCAGTCTATCCCATGTCCCGGTGGTTAGGGCACTCATCTGGGATGTGGGAAGATCTTGTTTGCAAAGCAAGCAGGGAATTGAAAGGAGGAACTCAGGCCTCCTATATCACTAGGCCACAGAAACAGAGTGACTCTATAGCCTAGTGCTTCGGCCATCACCTGGGAAGTGGGAGAATCAGGTTCAAGGCCCTGCTCCAAAAAATATTTAAGGTGTAACCGCTCCAAAGGAAAGACTGGGAGAGGAACATCCACCCCACAAATACCCAGGAAGATACTTACCTGGGATGTGCAGAGTCCTCGATTCAAGTATTTGTGCACATCAGACAGAGGATGGATTTGAACTTGGGTTTCCCACATCCTAGCTAAGTGCCCTAACCATGGGTCTACTGAGTAGATTAACAAGCATGTACTTTTGGATGTATTTTGTGCAGGGCCTGAACCAGTATGCATGCTCTGAGACCATTAACTGGATCAGTCCCCCCACTGGAAAGGTAGGGATAAGGGGGAATGGTTAGTTTGAGAATCTCACTGGGGCTTAAGAATGAGCTGGGGTGGCATCATTCCTCAAGCAGCTTTGCACATGTCTATTGCGCAACTGCACAGTGGTTTAGAGAACATTGGTGGTGCCTAAATATTGGATTTAGACCATAAGTCTTTGTGAATCTAACCCTCTGACTTGCCTATGGTCTGTGGCAGAATAGGGAATTAAACCCAGCTCCCTCAATCACAGGTTAGCACCCTAACAACTAGACCATCTGTCTTCATACCTGAAACTGAATCAATGATAGTACTCAGTCCTTGCGCAAATCAGACTCCAAAAGAACACAGTTAGTGACCACCTGTAAAAATATTAATTCTCTTCTACTGACCAAGTACATGGTCATTGGAAGAGCTAGAACTAAAACTTATGATCTCCGAGTGCCCAACCCAATGCACCTTTCCCTAGGACAAAATACTGCTACAAAGTTTTGTGTAGCTCCATGAATGACACTTCTTGCCAGTGAGAAATGGTAACTTACTTTGTGTTATGGGTGCCCAGTAGCAGCGGGTAGGGCGTTATAGGAGTCTGTCCTCTTGCACCTCACAGAATCAGGAGATTGTGAGATGCAGGAGTGACTGGGAAACTTGGAGAAGCTAGTGATAACCAGCAGCAGACAGGGGGAATAGAACCCAGGGGGTTTTGGGGGTGAGGAGTGGAAGAGGCAGGAAAACCTGAGGCAGTTTCCTTCATTTTGTATCAGCTTCCCATTATCCTACCTTCTGCCTCTGACACACTTCATTCCTTTCCACTCACACACAAAAGGAAACTTCATAATAATGCTACAACTGCAGAATATCAGTAGTTAAAATAATCACTATTAGATATTATGTGGATAGTCAAAATGTTGTTCGAAAATAGAACGTAACCTAGGAACGCTATACACTATGGCCTCAATCCTGCAAGGAGCTCGGCAAAGATGCACCTCTGTGGAGCTCCTTGCAGGGAAGAGGCTACGTAGGAATGTGTACCTAATGAAAGTAGTTTCAGTTAGTGAAGAAAAACAGATGACTGGCTTGAAGGGAACAACCTGGGATGTTATAGTTAATGATTCTTAACATGTGGGTGGTGACTGCTCAAGGGTATGAGTTGAATGCCAGAGGTTGTCTACTGCATCACAAGCTAACTGTATTCATCTGAAGCAGATTCACTTACAACGTGGCCCTCCACTAACACCAGGAATGCCTTTTCCCTCTTTCCTATGGGCACGGGCACAGGCATAAATCAATGTGTCAGGAGCTGACTGAGGAGATATCTGAGCCATTAGCAATTATCTTTGAAAAGTCGGGGAAGACAGGAGACATTCCAGAAGACTGGAAAAGGGCAAATATAGTGCCCATCTATAAAAAGGGAAATAAGGATAACCCAGGGAATTACAGACCAGTCAGCTTAATTTCTGTACCCGGAAAGATAATGGAGCAAATAATTAAGCAGTCAATTTGCAAACACCTGGAAGATAATAAGGTGATAACAGTCAGCATGGATTTGTCAACAACAAATTGCGTAAACCAACCTGATAGCTTTCTTTGACAGAGTAACAAGCCTTGTGGATGGGGTGAAAGCAGTAGATGTGGTATACCTTGACTTTAGTAAGGCTTTTGATACTGTCCCGCATGACCTTCTCATAAACAAACTAGGGAAATACAACCTAGTTGAAGTTACTATAAGGTGGGTGCATAACCGGTTGGAAAATCGTTCCCAGAGAGTAATCGGTGGTTCACAGTCATGTTGGAAGGGCATAATGCGTGGGGTTCCGCAGGGATTGGTTCTGGGTCCGGATCCGTTCAATATCTTCATCAATGATTTAGATAAAGGCATAGAGAGTACACTTATAAAGTTTGTGCACGATACCAAGCTGGGAGGGGTTGCAAGTGCATTGGAGGATAGGATTAAAATTCAAAATGATCTGGACAAACTAGAGAAATGGTCTGAAGTAAATAGGATGAAATTCAATAAAAATAAATGCAAAGTACTCAACTTAGGAAGAAACAATCAGTTGCACACATACAAAATGGGAAATGACTGCCTAGGAAGGAGTACTGCAGAAAGGGATCTGGGGGTCATAGTGGATCACAAGCTAAATATGAGTCAATAGTGTAATGCTGTTGCAAAAAAAGCAAACATCAGTCTGGGATGTATTAGCAGGAGTATTTTAAGCAAGACATGAGAAGTAATTCTTCCGCTCTACTCCACGCTGATTGGGCCTCAACTGGAGTATTGTGTCCAGTTCTGAGTGCCACATTTCAGGAAAGATGTGGACAAATTGGAGAAAGTCCAGAGAAGAGCAACAAAAATTATTAAAGGTCTACAAACATGACCTATGAGAGAAGGTTGAAAAAATTGGGTTTGTTTAATCTGGAGAAGAGAAGACTGAGAGAGGACATGATAACAGTTTTCAAGTACATAAAAGGTTGTTACAAGGAGAAAGGAGAAAAATTGTTCTTCTTAACCTCTGAGGATAGGACAAGAAGCAATGGACTTAAATTGCAGCAAGGGTGGTTTAGGTTGGACATTAGGGAAAATGTCCTAACTGGAATAAATTGCCTAGGGAGGTTGTGGAATCTCCATCACTGTGGATTTTTAAGAGAAGGCTGGACAAACACCTGTCAGGATGGTCTAGATAATACTTAGTCCTGCCTTGACTGCTGGGGACTGGACTAGATGTCCTCTCGAGGTCCCTTCCAGTTCTATGATTCTATGAAATATTTGTAGCCTTATGACAGGGTTTGGTTGCTAGAGTACACAGCCAGCTGTGTATCTGTAGTAAGTGTACCTGCAATGGCAATAAGCAGGTAGTGTGGGTAGAGGGCAATGTATCAGACAGCATGGGTACAAATTTCAAAGTGCTAGCTACACTCTCTTCAACCTCATTCTGAATCGGCTGCAGTGCCAATGCTGCCCTTTAGCCTATGCTACGGTATGCCACAGGGTGCACGGGGGACTAAGCAACCACACCCCAATCCATCCAAACTTTGTTTTAAAAGGAGGGGTGCTCCTAAAATACATACAATGTTAAATAAAAAACCATCATTATTGTGTACCCACTCAGTTAGCTGCAAACAAAGAGCTTGTCTACATGGGAAAGTTATTCTGGAATAAGATAAGGTGTGAATTAAAACAGATATAGTTATACTGGTATCATTCCCCAAGTGAACACTCTTAGGGTATATCTACACTATGGACCTTACAGCAGCACAGCTGTACCACTACAGCCGTGCCACTGTAAGGTCTCCCGTGTAGCCGCTCTTTGTTGGCAGGTGAGAGCTCTCCTGAGGGCATAATTAAACCACTCCCAACAAGCAGCGTTATCGATGTCGGCAGGAGAGTCTCTTCTGCCAACACAGCGCTGTCCACATCAGCACTTTTGCAGGTGAAACTTATGTCGGTTGGGGGTGTGGTTTTTTTTTTACACCCGTGAGCAACAAAAGTTTTACCAGCAAAAAAAGTATAAACAAAGCCTTACTCTGGTATAAGAGTGTCTTTTTTCAGTTTAGTCTTTTTTTCGCTTCTTGGCTCTTTGAGCTAAGATCATATGTTGCTCGGGAAGGTGGTTAAGCTAAACTGGAAAAGACACTCTTACGCTGAAATAAGTTTGTCCACCTCGGGTTATACAGCTGTAACAATGGCATAACTGGTAAATATTTTGAAGTTTGAAGGGGTTTTGTTTGGTTGGGGTTTTTTGTTTGGTTGGGTGGCGGGAGTGGTTTGTAAACAATCTTTTTGTGCAGTCTACTACTAATACCAGTTCTGAAAAGACGGTTGGGGAAGAGGTCTGGGAGCATAGTCATTGCAGAGTTCTACTTCTTTTTAATTGATTTTTGGTTAATACTTATGCATGTGTTAAGCACTGTTTTACATGCACAGGGTATTATAGGAGATGCTATACATTTTAAAAATAACACTGTTCTTTACAAGAGAAATAAAATAACTTTTAAAAGCACGGTTAAATCACCTTTATAAATAACTGCAGGGGTCATACTTTGCAAACCTGCTTTATTTTAAGAAAACGCTAGTTCGACGGAGAGTGTACTACTGCCCATCCTATTAATTTAATGTGCAATGTATGCATGGGAAGAATTTACCTCTGGCTCCTTCGACCAATATCAATAAGTAGTGGATAGCGGGCATTTTATGCATCCTGTTTGAAACCCTGCCAACCAAAGGTGGCAGCTGTTTATGAATCACTGGTTTGCCTGGCACTGCAAGAATAGGTGCAGTGTAACCAGGGTTTAATTCGTGCCTGGGCTTGCCAGGGCTAAACCCTGGCACCCCTAGGCTTGGCAGTTCATAGCCCCAGCACCTCTCCCTTGCCACATCAGTTATGAAAGTAAAACAAAATTGCTTGAGGCCCTGGCACCTCTTTCATTACAGATTCAGCACTGAGTGTAGCAAAGAAGAGCAGATCCCTGCCCTGAGGGGCTGCCACCCGCACGCACAATAACCCACAGCAGAGCAGCGGCCGCTTTGGGGACCCTGGGCAGCAGCTGTGTGTGTTGCTGGGGAGGCAGGAGCCCCAGGCTGAGAGCCGGAGACAAAGGGCAGGGACAAAGGCCGGAGACAAAGGGCGCCCTCGCCTTTCACTTTCCCTTCTCAAGGGCAAGGAGACGTGGCCGATGGTCGCAGGGGCCCCCTGGCCAGACACCCCCAGCTCTGCAGAGAGAGGCAGTAAAGGGAGCCCCCTCCCCAGGGGGGAACTATGGGGTTTAGGTTCCTTTTCCCCTGCCCGGGAGGGGGGACACCCTCCCCCAGCGCCCTCAGAGACGATGCCTCAGCCGCCCCCCAACCGCAGAGCCCAGGGGAAACAGCGCAGCCCGGGCCCGCCGGCCGGCGCCGCACGCTCGCCTCTGGGTGCTCCGCAGGCTGGGAGCCCGCGGGCCGGGCTTGCCTGCCCTACCGGAGTTGCCGCCGATGCGCTGCTGCTTGGAGCTCGCCATGGCCCCAGAGAAAGGCTCCAAGTGCGGCCCCCCCCAGCCGAAGCTTAACAGACGCCGCAGCCTTGCCCGGCTCCTCGTCTTCCTCCGCCGCTTCCTGCACCACCCGCCCCCGGCCCGCCTCCCTCCTTCAGTGGCCGCCGCCCCTTCCCGCGCCAGGCAACCCCGGGCGGCTCCCGGCGGGCGGATGGGATCCCGGAGGGCGCGCCCCGGCCGGGCTCTCCCCAGCCCCTGGTGTGGTCAGCGGGGTTGTACAGTCCAGTCGGCTGTCCTCCTCCAGCTGGGTGGGGAGAAAACCAGCAAAAATCCAACCAGGTCCTCCCTGCAGTAACTGGGGTTTTGGTTTTATATCATTGGCCAGAACCAAACCCCAGATCCAAACCCCACCAGCAACTGGGGGATTTCAGGGGGCAGGAGCCAGCTGGAAATTTCAGACCTGGCCCCTATATTTTTAATTAGTGTACTGAACCGAGACCCTGTGGATCAGCCCTCTGCCCCCATGCTGATCTGAGTGTCCCTAAATTCTGGATCAAGTTTCCCATATGGTTCTTGTTAACTGTCGGTCTCCTGCCAGTATTTAGCCTTAGATGGAGTTTACCACAGCTTTGGGCTGCATTCCCAAGCAACCTGACTCCAAGAAGACCCGGTCCCGGCGCGCCGGGGGCTGCTACCGGACTCACACCGTCCATGGGCACCTCTTAAGTTCAAGAGGGCATGAAACCATTAAGAGGTGCCCGTGGACGGTATGAGGCTGGTAGTGGCCCCTTGCGTGCCGGGACCAGGTCTTCTTAGAGTTGGGTTGCATGGGAATGAAGCCCAGCGCTGGTGGTAAACTCCATCTAAGCCTAAAGTCTGGCCCTTGCCTATGAAGCATTACACTTAGGGGTCTCGAACATATGGCTTGGCATGCAAAATTGAGTCAATGGCAGCTTGGTCATTAGAACTGTGTAGGGACAATTGCGTGCCTCACTGCTGCACAGTTTTAAAAATTAGGTCCTGAATGAGCCACCAAATAGTGTTGAGCGCAACAGCTGCCTTACTTAAAATCTGCACCTTAGGTCGCTTGGAGGAAATCCCAGTGTAATGTGCACACCTAAGTATTTTGTCTTTTAAAATATCTTTTTTTGTTTAAAAATATGGAACTTGCTGTTCTGACCAAGTTATTCCCCTTGTGAACCCTTTCACTGGATTCCTGTTTCTTACTGCATCAAATTCAAGCTTCTTGTCTTTACTGTGAAGGCCCAATATATTCTCACTCCCTACCTACTGTGCCTCTTTGCTCTCATTTTCTGTTATTCCCCATTTTATTCTCTCCTTCTTGGTCTCTTCTTATTGCTCCTGCCTTTCTCTATCCGCTGTGCTTGTCCTGGTTTCCCATTTCAGACAATTGTCAGCTTCCTCCTTCCTCCAATTCCTCCTTACCACTCACATCTTTCAGGAAATTTTCCTATCCTGTTCTAACCTGCAATAATCTCTCCACAATGTCTTTTTTTTTTAACCTTAATTCCTGTCTTATGTCTGGTCTTTTTTCTTTATTTTCACTTACCGTGTAAATACTTTAGGGCAGGAAACGTGTCTCAATCTGTTGGTAGATTGTTGTGTAAATGTTTGACACTATAATAATTACTATTAATCTATACACCTATTCATTTTGTAAAGAAAAGCTCCATGTGGGACCAGTAGCATATATTTATCACAAGTGCTGTGGCTATTGTTTTTTACTCCCTACACTTGTATCACAACATGTTTGCCAAATCCCAAAGTACATATATGCATATAAAAATGGATAGAACTAGGGCCTGAGGGTTGGAAAACAAAAGAGATTAAAAACTATAAATTAGGGAAATAGAGGAGGATTCCATAAAGAATAAAGAGCAGATTAAAGTTCTTCCCTTCACTCTAAAATAGTCCAGTTACACTAACCAAAATGACTGCATTTAGAATAAATGGACCGAATAGCTAATAGTTCACCAAACCACCCCCCTCCCCCACCAAAAAGCCCATCTCTTTTGTTTTTGCACATTAAATCCTAATGGTAACTCAATAGTAATTTCAGTGATATGGTTAAAACTTCACACTTGAAGGATTAGGAGCTACTTTGTCAGGAGTGAAATTAATCCAAGTGTAACCACATAGTTACCTAGTGAGTGAGTTATTTTACTCTTCTGTTATACTGTAGACCCATAAATGTTGACAGATTGTGAACTGCTTAAGTTTCAGGAATCAGCTGCAGGCAAGTTCTTTGCTCTGTTCTTGTGTCTTTTAAGAGTGATACCTCTAATATATAATAGAAACGTTTCAGAAATCAGTGGGTAGCTGAACAAAACTGTCTATATTAAAAGAAAACGTTCTTTTGAGTTTGTCATGGGATGTGCACATGGCGTTGGACTGGTATCAGTAACACTCTCCTATACTAACATAACATGGCTAAAAATAGCAGTGTAGACACAGCAGCATGGCTATACTAGCAGAGTGGTGACCCTGGGTATGTACTTGTGTTGCTAGCCTGCACTAACCCCCCTGTCCCCACATCTGTGCTGCTACTTTTAGCAGTTCGTGTGGTATGTCTTTGGGAACAGTGAATCTGAAAGTTCTGTGACTGTTCAAGGGAATGGGCTGAGAGCTCCAGAGGGATACTCAGAGAAAGGGAAACAATAGTATGCTGAAACCTACAGCTCCCCAAAGCAGCCTTTTGTTCACCAAGGTTTAAAGTCGTTTTAACAGCCATATTCATAGTTTTGAGATGCCTCAGGAAACTGGAGTTTGGCTTAATGTAAAATGAAAAACTGTATCTTACCAGAATCACTGAATGAAATAGGCATGAGCTTAAAATAGATTTAAAATATTTCATATTATATAGACTAAGATGACATTGTACTTTTTTTGGATTTTGCTTTTCTTACTCTGTTTAATAGGCAGCATGTTTAAAACAAACAAAAGGAAGTACTTCTTCACATGACACAGTCATCCTGTGGAACTTGTTGCCCTGTGATGTTGTGAAGGCAAAAGTATAACTGGGTTCAAAAAAGAATTAGATAAATTCATGAAGGACAGGTCGGTCCATCAATGGCTATTAGTCAAGATGGCCAGAGATGCATGCCCATCCTCTGGGTGTCACCAAACCGCCAACTGCAAGAAGCTGAAACTGGACAACAGGGAAAAGCTTTGTTTGATCTAGGCAAGTATGTGTTGTGGAACAGTTTGCCCTGGTATGGTTTGTGGTTGTTTTGGTGTTTTTGTAGTCTTACTGCAAGTGTCTCAGAACTACAACTACATCTAGCAGATTAATATACCACTTGCTGCTTTTCTGATCTCCCAGAGGGGAGAATGGGCCTTCTTTTGTTCAAAGCATTCCAGCCCAATCTACAGAAAACGGTTTTCTGTGGATTGTGGAACATGTCCTAGCCAGTGTTGGTACAGAATTTGGACTAGATCCTTGGCTCTTAGGACATCTTGTGGGTATGTTTAAATAAATGTTGCAGCAGACTACACTGCTTAGGAGAGCACATTAATGAGTTAAATTCCATTAGGGAACAAGAGGGATTTTACAACTATGTTAAGTGATTAGATGTTGATCTAACTGATGCAGGCACAAAAAGGTAACCTTTGTGTGCAGAAGGGGTTATTGTATAATGCATTTTTACCTATTTTCCTTTTGTGGTGTTGATGGATACTTGTCTGAGCAAGAATTTCTGACATCCGGAAACCTCATGAGAAATGTAAACACTCTATACTGTGGAAGAAATTAAACACTTCCTTTGTACTGCAAGTGAGACCATTTATGCCATTGCAACACTCACCTTCAACACTGCTGAATAATACAAACACGTATTTCTCCTTTTAATATGTAGCTGGCCGTTTCCTGCAAGGTTTTTTACACTGCAAGTTCTCTACAAGCTTGAGGAGAACAAGACACAGCTTGTTGCAGCAGTAGAAAGTTCCCTCATTCAGGTGTGTAGTGTAAAAACTCTCTTACCTACCCCAGTGAGATTTACAACTCAAGGGAGCGTTTGTTGTTTTTAGATTTGTTCAGTCAAAATTTTAGATGTGGCAGCTTACATCAGTTTTGATCACTACTTTGGCAATAATAATTTTAGAACAGCAGACAGGAAATCAAGACTAGCCAGAGTACGATAGTCACAAAACACAATTAACGTTTCCCAAAACACTTCTATCTGTCTGCAATTGTGCAGTTTGAAAGGAATAAATACTTTGTGCACTTATAAGCGGGTACACTGGAAAAACTAAGGCAGAGAATCCCAGCAAACTAAATATTTCCACAATCCAGTTTTATAAAGCATATACAAAACAGAGGTTCAATGTTATGATCTTTTAGCTTTTGCTGCAACACTCCACACCTAGTGCTGTATACACAGGAACTTAGGTCGGCTTAACTACACTGATCATGGGTGTGGATTTTTCAAACTGAATAACTTTCGCTGACCCAAGTTAAAAGTCACATAGGGAAAAATGCACGGAGGGAAACTTAGGAATTGTATATTTGTTAGCTGCACATAGCAATATATTCATAGATGTTTTTGGATACTCTGACCCTTGCACAAGTAGCAGAAATACCAAGACACTTTAAAAAATCATTTTTCTTTATAATTTTTACAAAACCCCAAAGAAAAGAGTAAAAGGAAGATAAGCAAAAAGATAAGTGAATACAGTAACACAGTCTACATTACAAGAGTTAAATATAAAATCATTCTCTTTAGACAATTAAGATCCATCCTTGCTATACATATAAAGACACCTTTGTTAAATAGAATGCCTCTGTTGGGTGGTACATTTAATAAAAATAAATTTGATTTGAAAAATATAAACATCTATTAAAAATATTTCTTTAAGAAATAATTTGTAAGAATAACAGCAATGCTTCAAGTTGTCACATCAGAAGTATCACCTCATATTTTGCTAGGTTCTACACTGTTCCATTTTGCAATTTAAGCCTTAAAAGTGCCAGTGTTTCCGATCTAACTAGTGCTTCAGAAGTGAGTTTGATATATAAAACAGATAGGAAGATGCAGTTTTTAGTTCTAGGTTTGGTATAGCCTTCAACATACTGTATATGAGAACATAGCAACATAGTTGAAGCAGAGAAACAGAAGTCATTTCA